CTGAATGGAGTTATAGTGGACATTGTTGGAACATCAGGAGGTTTAGCTTTATCGTGGAGGCATGATATCAAAGTGGACCTGATCAGCTTGTCAAATAACCACATAGATGTTGAAGTTGTTGGAGACCAACAGGATGCTAATTGGCGTCTTATGGAGATATATGATTTTCCTCAGATTCAGATGACATATTTGACTTGGAACTTGCTTCATTCTCTAAGCACCCAGAAGAGTCTCATATGGGTGATTCGGGTGACTTTCATGAAATTTTGGAAAGTTCGGAAAATAAAGGGGGTTATTTCCAGAAGTTCGGCCCTTAGTACAGCGTTTCGAGAGGGGTTATTGGACTGTGAGCTTATGGGTTTGGGTTTTAGGGGGGGCGCCCTTTACATAGTGTAATAAGCGTGCCTACCCGGAGACTGTGTGGTATCGGCTGGATATGGTATGTGCGAACTCATTATGAGGAAGTTCTTACTCTCACGCGGAAGTCACTCACTTGCAATATGTGGGATCCGACCATCTCCCAATAATTTTAACATATCACCCGACGTGGAGAGCTTGGCTCAACATGGGAATCTACCGTTTGTTTTGAGGCTATGTGAGCTCGGAGAGTTGAGTGTGAGGCGATTATCCGAGAATGCTGGGGCACGGTGGATGGAAAACTCAAACTCGATGGAGGAAGTCATTGGAGGTATGGAAGGGTGTCATATTGCTCTTAGACATACAACGGAGCCGAGGGACTCACTCGAACCCTAATAAACGGATTGAGTTACTAAATGGCTAATTACATGATTTGGGTTTCAAAGATCAAACTAATGAGGTTATCGATCTACAGAAGCATCTTAAGAAAGAATTGGAGCAAGTGTATGGGGACCTAGATGTGTGTTGGAGATAGAGGAGCCGGGACCAGTGGATTCGTGACAGAGAGCGGAATACAAAATACTTCCACCAAAAATCCACAATGAGCAAACATCGAAATTGGGTCCACAAAATTAAAGATGAGACATAAGTTTGGCATGATGATCTGAAGGATATTGAAGGGGTAATTGATCGTTACTATGCCAATCTTGTTAGCTCATCTAATCTATCCGAGACAGAGATCGATAGGCGAGGTACTGGAACACATCGAGCCCCGAATCACCGAGGAGGATTCCTATCTGCTCCCCCTCCCTTACTCAGCAGACGAGGTAACCTAAGCCATCTCTCAAATTCCCCCATTTAAGCCCATGGCCTTGATGGGCTTCCAATTTTATTTTTATGCGATATTGGAATATAATTGGCTCTTCAGTTCTTGATTGTGTTCTTTACTTTTTTAATCACAGATCTCTACCCCTAGCTTTAGTTCCACCTCTCTCGTTTTAATCCCAAAAGTGAATAAACCTTAAGATATGACTCAATATAGACCGATTAGTCTTTGCAACATTATTTGTAAATTTGGATCCAAGTCAATAGCCAGTCGAGTTAAATCGGTGTTGAGTAAAATTATTTCCTCGACCCAATCGGCTTTTGTGCCCCACCGGCACAAAAGTCGACAACGTTCTGGTTGCTTATGAAATCAACCTTTTGATTACTACTAAAACTCTAGAAATCATTCTAAGTATATGACACTTAAGCTTGATGTTAGTAAAGCATATGACCGTATTGAGTGGTCTAATGTCCAGGAGATTTTAATTTGTATTGGGCTCCCGATTATTCTCGTTGATTTGATTATGTTATGT